CGTCTTGGCTTCGTTGTCTCCTTTCCAGCCGTCTCGTTACTTGGCCGGATTCATGCTCCTGAAATGCGCTCCAGATGCCACATCCCGCGAGTCCACGCTCTTGCGGCGGGGCTCGGCCTGCTCTGCCTGGCCCCCAGCTTCCTCGCCCGCACCTCTGCCTCCCCCTGCTCTGCCCTCTGCCCACCTGCCGCTGTGCCCCAGCTTCCAGAGGCGCATCCCCGCGGCCCTCCCGCCATGGCTCTGCTGGGCGCTTGCTTTCCCCAGAGAGCTTTCTTCTCAGTCCTTCATTCGTCTTTCCAGAAGCGTTGCTGACTCCCGGGGCCAGATAGGATCCACCTTGACCTTTCCCCAATTCCTCAAACTTCACCTGAATGTTAGCGCTCCCTCCGTCACATACTTTTTCTCCCATTCTTAGCTGATCCAGAGGGGTGGCTTGAGGCGATTTCAGTCTCCCTGCCCCAGGCCCCCCAGATAAGTCCACCACAGGTGACCCTTGGGCCCTGCTACTGTCCACCAGCCCAGGACACAGTCCCCAGAGCCTGTCCGGCAGGAGCCACCCTGCCTGCTGAAGCCTGGACTTGCCCCGCTTCTTCCAGACTGGACAGGGCGAAGTCCAGCAAACCCCTGAGCCCCCGGGGGCCTGGGGGCGGGGCCGCCCGGAATCTGGCCTGCTGGGCTTGGCAAGACCAAGCGGTGACCCAGTGAGCGCGATGAACTCACAGCCTCCCCCACTGCGCTTCTGAGCGGGGCTGGGGGTCAGGGAGGGGCTGCCCACACCCACACAGGAATGGCCACGGGCCCGCGGCTGCAGCGGGGGGCTGTGCCCCTGACAGGCCAAATGCAAGAGCTCTTGCTACCCGCGAAGGCCGTCCCCAGGCCCCGTCCGCTCTAGAATGTTCTGTGCCCTTTGCCTTCCTTTTTCTACCGGTGCAAGGAGAAGCCCATTTTCTCACTTAACCTTGAAAATCAGCCAGAAACAGCACCTGGAGCCATGACGGGGTCCTCTGGCCCCCCTGCGGAGTCCCTTGGGCTGTCCGGCCTGCTTACGGCCGGGCCTCAGGAAGAGAGAGGAGGGGCGGCCTGTGGTGGAGGTCACGGCCCAGCATTTGGGGCAGGCAGTGGCCCCTGCTGGGCGGGGATTCCTTTGGGACTGTGGAGCACACTGCCCGATTTGTGTCCAACCTGGGCCCGGGCTGCGTCCAACGAGGAGCCGCCCGCTTGGCCGACAGCCACGTAACCCTCGGCTGAAACAGGCCTCAGTGCAGAGACCCGTCCCCTGCGGGGCTCGGGAACCTGAGCTTGGCGCACAGTGGGATCCGAAGGCCCGAGCAGCGAGTACTTGCCGAGAGCCCGCGAGGAGTGGCTGCCCGAGCAGGGAAGGCCACTCCAAGCCGCGGACCGCGAGCAGGGCAGGAGGTCCCACCTTCTGCCCCGAGGACAGGCAGACTCACATCGGGCTGGGCGGGTGGACCGCTCCTCTGAGCCCAGCGGGGGTGGCCGATCCGCGATGAGGAGACGCCCCCAGGGCTGGGAGCTGTGTCTGCAAAGGGGCCGCTGTTGCTCGTGGGCTGGTCCGCGTGGGGTGCAGTCGGTGGTGGGGCGAGCAACACTTGGTAGTGGCTCGTCGCAGCAGCCCGAGAAGAATTAGGTCTGTAGTCGAACTCTGCTGTGCACAGAACTCCTTGGGGTTTGCGCTGTGTCCTCACTTGACTTTATCACAATTCTAAGTAGGCGCTGTCAGCCCCAGTGTTGGGCGGGGCGATGCCTGAGGCCGAGGCGGGGTGCTCACCTCTCCGGCCCTCTTTGGGTGTGAAGCAGCCTGAGCAGCCCCCAGAGGTCACACCCCTAGGCAGCCTCGTGGTCTGTGTTGTGTTTTCCGGGGGGCTTTTCCTACCAGTCCGGGCCCGGCCTTTGAGGAGGCGCTCCCTGGTGTCGCTACACTTCATCTCTCTCACGGGCCTGAGGGTCCCCACAGGAGTCTTCCCTGACGGTTCACGGACTTGACGGGAATTGATAGCAGTGATGGCAGGGACGCGCGTGACTGCACGGTGACCCTGAGACCCGTTCTAGTTCCTGCCGACGCCTCGAAAGTCTCAGCTCTACCTTTGTTGTGGACTGGATGGCGAATCACTTTGTGACGACCTGCCTATGGCCTGCCTGTTCTCCGGGGATAGTTGAGATTGTCAGCGTCTCCTGAGAGGTCCTAATCTGATCCAACAGCGGCCTTCCCATGGCCCACTAATCTTGAGTATTTAAAAAATTCACCACTTCTCTCCATTTTAGAGAAGTTGTGCCTATTGTGTAGAAGATTCGGGGAAAACCTAGAAAAGCCCAGTGATTGCTATAGGCAACCTCTGGCCAGATCTGGCCCAGTGTCTGTTTTTGTCAATAAAGTTTTATTGACACAGAGCCACGCTCATTCTCTGCCACAGTGTCTGCAGCTACTCTTCGGTACCCTGAGCGAGTGTCAACACTTGGCTGATTTGGGGTCAGTGCTTGTGACAGATGCACAGGAAACATTCCTGCCAAGTGGCATGAGATTCGCCATAATGCTCAGGTGACATTAGGTAGGTCAGGACCCCTTTCGGTGCCTCAGTCTCCTCCTGTGCCCTGGGCGGTTGGATGACAGGACCAGGGAGAATGGTACCAAGGTGACGGAGTGTGGGGTGGAGGCAGGAGGTGGGGCGGCACCTGACGCTCGAGAGACGAGACCTTGGCACCCTACCTCCCCCAGGCGCAACACCCCAATCTCTGCCCAGTGTTCTCGGTTCGGGCCTGGATCTGCTCTGGATCTGAGCGCTGGCTCTGCCGCTTCCCGGGTGACCCTGAGTCTCGACTGCTGGCCTGGGGGACAGGCGTGGACACAGAGCCAGCCTTCCGGGGCGCTCTCGCCCTGCCCTGCAGCGCACCAGTGAGAGCTCAGGCTGGGACGAGCGCGACGGCTCGCTTCCCGGTTGGGCCTGGAGCGGTCTACTGAGGTGGACCAGCTGTCCCTGCGGAGCAGAGGGCAGGGAGCGCTTGACTTGGTGTTTCAGAGGAGCAGACTGGAAAGGTGGGGCTGCTGGTTCGCAGGTACGGGGGAGGTCCGACGGCCAGGACAGGGTTTACTGGGTGGGTCCTACCTGCCTGCCTTTGAGTCACACCAGGCCTCCCCCTCTGAGCCAGCAACCACCTACAGGCGGCGGCCTCTGGGGCAGCTCAGAAGCTGTCCTAACCGGTCAGACCTGTTGACCAGAGCTGCAGGCTTTGTATCCAGTTGCATGCTTTGGGCTTTACCGGCCTTTCTCTCATTTCTTCTTTATTATAAAATGCCTGAAACAGTATGAGTAGAGGGAATGGTTAACACGCCTCTTCACCTCACCACCACTAAACCCCCACCCCCGCGCCCACCGAGGTTATCTTGAAGCAGAAGCCAGCATGTCCGTGTTTTAGATAGACCTCGTGACCCTCTTAAACTCTTGGCGGGAATATAAATAGGACAGATTGCAGCAATTTTAGGGCAGAGCTGTTTGGCACCCTCCGTATTCTAAGGCGGATGCCTCTGAGTTGGCGTTTCCTCTTGAAGGATTCATCACTCATGTTGTTTTGCAAACGTGCAAGATGGTTACGCATTCCGGCGCTGTTGATGCTAGCAGAGGTCCACAAACACCGAGCGCCCGGCGGAGGGGACCGGCTCGGGTGTTCGCGGTGGCCGTGCACAGAGGCAGCGAGAGGAAGCTCTTCATAGAATGCTGTGTGTCCACCCGCACGGCGTGTTGCTCCAAGGGAAAGGTGAGGTTCGACCCTGCGGACGGGACACTGTCGTGTCCTAAAGTGGCTTTGGAACACGCGTTATTTCTGAGGGGCGCAGTGAAGCTGGCCTGGATCGCCACGCCGGGGCTCGTGGGCTGGAGACACGTGGAGGGAGGCTTCGCTCTCTCCCCTCGGGCTTGGTACTGGTTTTTAAAATTCCTATACTTCGGATCTAAAAATAGAAGTCTGTTTTCCCCACAAAGCCAAATTGGCTCTCGAGAACTGTCTATTCACGAACAAAAAGGTATTTACCCCAGTGAGTCGGAAGTTTCTGCCACACAAAGGCTGCGGGTGGTTTGTAGCAGGTTGCTCTGTAATTGGCAAAAACCGTGAGCAGCCAACCCGTCCTT